AACACAATTCGACAACAGAAGAATAACCACAAGGTTTGTTTGGGTCTTGCCACTCCTTCCTCCTCCATCTTCCCCCTCGGAGCCCACAGTTTCAAGGATGTCAGGCGAAGTTGGACCACCTTGCGCACAGCATCTCGGAGCCAGGAGTTGCGAGGATGTCTCAAGCGAAACGGGCCAGACATAGACAGACGAGAATTACGCACCACCGTCGACGACAAACAAAAACAGCAACGACAGCAACACATACCAACATTCTAAACCTCGCCTCCGACCATCCAGCGGCACATGCCGACGGCGCATGCTGCCTTTGGAAAGCCTTTGAGATCTGAACTGCGAGCAGGGCGAGCCCACCCCGCGACGGCGCTCCCAACGCGCATAACAGAGGGAGGAGACAATCACAGAAGAAGCCAGTGTATACTGGTAACCAAGCAAAGCCCCGACACCACGTATACACCAGCGAGAGGCAACTATTTTGAATGTCGGGCCACGTCCTGGTATATATCTCAAACGCGTCAAACTACTGGGTGCCCGTATCCACCTGGAACCAGATACACCAAGAAGAAATAAAACTTTCGACTGGATTGTACTGTCGCGTGGCGGGCTTGCTTTCCGCCCTGTTCCGGACACGCGGTTGGGGAGCATAATAACAAACTTGCGGATGATAACACATAAGCCATCAATGGCCATATCTGGATCTGAAGGAAACCGGTAATCGTGTATATCTCCAATATTCCATAGACCACCTCTCGCACATTTTCTTGGAGCCTGGACTTCCGAGGATTCATCATGCGAGCCAGGCTGGACCACCTCTCTCGAGCGGCATCTCGGAGCCCAGAGTTGCAAGGATGTCTCAAGCGAAACGGGCTGGACCACCTCGCGCGCGACATCTGGGCGCTCAGAGATACGAGGATATCTCAGGCGGAGCCCAACCCCCTCCCAGAGAACAATTCGACAACAAAAGCGGAATTAAATGTTTCGCTTAAGGCTTGCCCCTCCTTCCTCCTGCCTCCTCTGTCTCGGAGCCCAAGAGCTTCGAGAATGTCTCTGGCGAAAGGCGCTGGACCACCTCGCGCGCAGCATGTCGGAGCCCAGAGTTGCGAGGATGTCTTAGGAGGCTCCCAGGCACCTCCCAGAGCACAATCGACAACAGAGCTAATCAAATATTTCGTTTGGGTCTTGCCCCTCCTCCCTCCTCCCTCCTCTCTGTCGGAGCCCAAGAATTTCAAGGATGTCTCAGGCGAAAGGCGCTGGACCACCTCGCGCGCAGCATGCCGGAGCCCAGAGTTGCGAGGTTGTCTCAGGCGAAACCCGTCAGACCACCTCTCGCACGGGGTCTTGAGGCCCAGAGTTGAAAAGATGCCTGCGGCGAAACGGGCTGGACCGCATCTCGCGCGACATCTCGGAACCTAGAGTTGAACGAGGATATCTCAGGCGAAACAACCTAGACCACTTCTCGTGCGGCATCTCGAAGATCAGAAATGTGGGGATGTTTCAGGCGAAACGGGCCTGACCATCTCGGGCGCGGCGTCATGGAGCCCAGACGCGAGGATGTCTCAAGCGAAATCGTCTGGACCACCTCGCGCGGAGCATCTCGCAGCCCAGAATAGTCAGTTAATCTCAGGCAAATGGGCTGGCCCACCATGCGCGCGACATCTGGGAGCTCAGAGTTGCGAGGATGGATCAGGCGGCTCCCAGAAACCCCCTAGGGCACAATTCGACAACAGAACTGGAATGAAATAATCCATTTGGGTCTGACCCCTCCTCCCTCCTCCGTCCCTGAGTTTCGAAAATGTCTCATGCAGAGTGCGCCAGACTACCTCTCAAGCAGGATGTCGGAGCCCAGAGTTGCGAGGATGTCTCAAGCGAAACGCGTCAGACCACCTCGCGCGCGCTGTCTTGGAGCCCAGGGTTGCAAGGATGTCTGCAGCGAAACGGGCCTGACCACCTCGCGCACGGCATCCTGCAGCTCCGAGTTGCGAGGATGTCTCGGGCGAAACGGGCCAGACCGTTTCTTGCGAGGCATGCGAGGATGTCTTCAGGCGGAGCCCAGACCCATCCCAGAGAACAATTCGACAACAGAGCTGTAATCAATTGGTTCGTTTGGGTCTCCTCCTTCCTCTCGGAGCCCAAGAATTTGGTGGATGTCTCTGGCGGAAGGCGCTGGACCATCTCGCGCGCAGCATGTCGGAGCCCAGAGTTGCAAGGATGTCTCAGGCGAAACGCGCCGCATCACCTCGCGCGCGGCGTATTGGTGCCCAGAGTTGCGAGGTTGTCCCAGGCTAAACGCGCCGAACCACAGCATCGCGCAGCTGCTCGGAGCTCAGATTCTCGAGGATGTATCAGACGAAACGGGCCAAACCACCTCTCACGCATCATCTCGAAACTCTGAATTGGGGGGATGTCTCATGCGAAATGAGCGGACCTCTTCGCGATCGGCATCTCGGAAACCCGAGTTGCGAGAATGTATCAGGCGAAACGCGCTGGACCAACTCGCGCGCGGCAGCTCGGAGCGGAGAGTTGCGAGAATGTCTCAAGCGAAACGCGACGGACCACCTCTCGCTCGGCAGCTCGGATCCCAGATGTCTGAGGATGTCCCAGGCGAAACGCGCCAGACCACCTCGCGCGCGTCGTCTCGGAGCTTAGAATTGGGAGGATGTCTCAAGCGAAACGTCCAACTCTGGCCGACTCAAAAACGAGAGTTGTGAGGACGTCTCCGACGAACGGCGCAGGACCACCAATTTTGCTTGAGGATGTCTCTGCTTGCGCGCCCCTCGGCCAGAACTAGTTCCTATAACAACAGCACCCCGTTCAGCAAGCTGTTTGGGAAAAAACGCCGACCGCAACATCCGTTAGTGTGACTCAATCCGACCGACATATCAGCCGGCGTCCATCTGTTCATGTACGCCCATTAGGATCCCGCGTGCAAAAAGGACGCCCGCGTTGCAGGCGGGCGGATGATGAACGCATATGCGTACACATGCTGAGCAAGACGGCGGCGGATCGATCCGCCTGCGGAAGCTGGCGGCTGGCGGAAGGTCGGCGGAGGATAGCTCAGCTGGCTGCTGCGGCCTCCGCAACCTTGGCCTGCCCTGGACGCCGGTTCGCAAAAACTGGATCTGAGGGAGGCGGACCCTCTACAGCTTCTCCAGCTCGGGCCCTCGGCGTAGCGGGTGGATGTTAACGGGGAGGCCGATGAACGGGGGGCAGTATGAGAGCCTGAACGTGGCTCTAACGAAGCCCTGAACCTGCCACCCCGAGACCAGAAGATGCTGGGAACGTGCACCTTTCCCCCCGCCCCGCCCGCCCCCGTTGCTGTTCCCACGATCTGGGCCCCCAAGCTGGCCACCAATCAATCTGCAGCCTGGCTCGCCAATACCCCATGGTATTCCCGAACTTCTCTAAGTCGTAGGTCCGAGCCCGAGCTCCCACTTTGGGTGCTAGTAGCTAGTTTCTACAACTTGACAACCTGGAGGGTTGAGACCACGTGGGAAATGCGCTTGCATGGGCAATGGAATACGTATATGGGTTACAATTTCAAAACCAGTCTAGCCAGCTCGGGACCCAAGAGCGACGGACAGCCAGGCCCACTACAACTAAATCACAAGATAGCTCACCGACTGGGCCTAGCGGCCAGCCCAAACGGCGAGCATACTTCGGGCGTAGCCCCGAAGAAGCTGGCAGAAGGTGTGCGATCCATGAGTTGCGCCAGAGGTTGTTAGATCGATTGGTTGCACCAATGGACCATAGGTTGTGCCATCCATGGGTGACGCCGTTCATGGGGTGCGCCATGAATGGGTTGCGCCATAGCTTGTGCCTCCCATGAGTGGCGCCATGGGTTGCGTCGTCCGTGGGTTGCGCCGCTGATTGCGCCATCAATTAGATGCGCCATGGGCTTCGCCATTGGTTGCGCACTCGGCAGAAAAATAACCTGCTAGTGGTTGCGCCATAGGTTACGCACTCGGCAATCGAGAATCAAACTGCCTGGTATCGGTTGCGCCATGGGTTCAAGTTTCTCACTCGTCTTCCGACAACCAAATTGTCTGCTATTGGCAACTATGTGGGAAAGGAACAATCGGCTGTCTTTCATACAACGACCTGGCCTGTGCTGCGCAATACAGCGCGCCTCAGGCCGAAGAACGTAAAACATAAAATGGCATCAGGCTTCGCACCCAAATGCAGAAAATAAAGTCGTCCCCCATTTGTTGCTGCAAGGGTTGCGCACTCAGCGGCCAACCATACAACGAACTGAGACTGGTTGCGCCATGAGTTACGCCACCCATGGCGCCATCCATTGGTTGCGCAATTGGTTGCGGAATGGCGGCCGAAAACAAGCTGCTTGCTAACAAGTGCGACCACTCAGGCTCCTCCGTGAGTCACTTCGTCAGTCCACCTCGCGGTAAAGAACTTCGGGCTGCGCCTCAACACAAATAACTCAGACGTTAGCCAATAAGACCAGCACCACCCAAGTGCTTGCCTATCGCCGCTCTGGGGGAAATGCGGACCCCTGGCGTCGCTCCCGTACCGCACAGCACTATCAAGTGGCACAACTTCCAGACCAGACACGCTGGGTGAGTGTGGTTTCGGCACCACCTGGGAGTTCGGACTCCGCTTCACCGAGCTCTCGCGTGAGATGTTTCGGGTTGTTGGCGTGCTGGATCCATCATCGAGAGAGGGTGACCTCCCCAAGGCCCGAGTTGGCCCTCCGAAAGGCGCACCTCGGCCCGACGTCTGGAAGCCGTGGGAACGCTCCGCGCTCCAACGGCACCCCGTTTCACGCACTTCCCCCTGCGGGTCTGGAGACCTACCAGGGAATTAGAGTCCGAGTGGATGGGGTCGGGGAATCGCGCCGCATCGCCGATGCATCGGCGACGCCATCGTGGAGAACATCGGGCTCTCAATCGAGCCGCATCGCCCATACATCGGCGGTGTGGCGCGATCCTCCGGCCCCATCTGGGAGGCCCGGAGTGGCAAGAGTCGCCCCTGCGATGCCCAGCGCCGGCCTAGAGAGGCCGCCAGCAGCGCGGCAGGTGGGCGCTGCACGTTCACAGTCTCCGCACCTCGCAGGGCTTCGAAGAAGCTCGGCCAAAGGAGGGGGTCAAGAGGCGGGCAGGGGCGGGAGAGGCGGGCACCAACCATACACCCGCACCGATCCTGGCCAGGCTCATGTCGGGCCCAAGGTCGATGTCTGCGCCCTCCTGGCCTGGGCAGGAAGGTATATACACCGATCCTGGGCTCAGGGTCGGAATGCCCAGGATCGGCGCAAGTGCATACTGTCAGGAACTTTTGCTCAGCGTGTCGCGGCGGCGGCACCAGCGGCATGCTACGCCTTGCAAGCGGATAGCGGCGGAGCGGCACGCTATGCCAAAGGTCCTGACCGTAGCTGGTGCGCTCCGATGGTCGGCAGGGGGCGCCTCCTGGACATGTTCGAGCAAAGCTTGGGCCGCGCGCTAATCGCCTGCGGCCGCCGGCGCGTATACGGCAGTCTGGTGTCGTGGCGGCCCCGGAGTTTGCTTCTGACACCGCGTGGATCGTTCAACACCTGAACGATCGGCGGCTTCTCGATCGCCAGATTCCTCCCGATTGGCCGACTCTGGGCCACTGGCGGCGTTCACGTTCAAGCTTGAACGTCGGCGGCGAGGTCGCCACCGCGTCGATACAATGCGAATCTGCCGTCTGGGAATCTGACGAAACTCCGAAACTCGAAGGGATAGCTGGCGGATGTGTTCTCGACTGGTCACGCGGAAGAAGAGCACACCCGCCCGCATCCGCGCCCTGGCCAAAAGGTTTTCGGGCCTCCGAGCTTCGGAATCCGCGCACCTGCGCCTTTTGAGAGGGCGTGCCCGTGCATTGCCTCGTTTTGCGGCGCTCCCCAGGGCCAAGACAGGATAGCCGCTGGGTGCCGATAGCCCGCATCAGCCAGCAAGGCTGCTCAGCCGAGCGGGATACTCTGTGGTCCGTGACCGAGCCCCATGGCCACATGAGGCACGTTTGTGTTCGGCTCGATCGAAACTGGGAAATCGATCTGTGTTCCAATCGGCTCGATCGGGGCACTTTTGTGTCCTGCTCGGGCGGGCCACGTTATTGTTTTAGATTCCATCTACAGAGTTTCTTCTCAACTATGGCAAAGCTTGAAACGGAGCGCGACGCTCGGAGCGCAACACTGCCAACTTGAATTGGGGGCCAACCAGCTGCGAGGACTAGGCTGCCAAGCTCCCTGCGCCAGTTTCAGCCCGTAGTTGCGATTATGGCTCTCCTCGAATCAATAAGCCCTTAGACCACTAGCACTCAACTGGCATTGATGCAGCGGGCACGAAGGGAATAGAAGTATTGACGCCCTGGCCCGCGACAGATAAAACAGCGAAGGAACTACCGATGAAACGCTGTCCGTGCGGCGTGGAATGAAGTGAGGGGAGGAGAGGAGGAAGAGGGTGCGACACCAGCAGGGCCAAAAGCAGTTTCACAAAACTGGCACGAGAAGGCACGTCTCCACCCTGCAATGTGCAGTAGGGGCCGCCTACTGCATTGAAATTCCCACCACCTTCTCTTCCTGGATCACGGCGGCAGCCAGCCGGCCAGCCAGCCGGCCAGCCAGACTCACGGCACCCACGCACTCCCAGCTGCCATGCTCTGGGAGAGGGCGCGAGTCCCCGAGTCCTGCCACACAGCGGCGCTAAGTTCCAAACGACACTTGAACTTACCGCAGCTGCTGCGCCAGTCGCTGTGATATATACATATGTATATAAGTGTATATGTACATGGTACTCCTCACCACGCATACACGCATAGCCGAACACACGCAGATGCGGCAAGCACCAATTGAAGAGGCAAAGAGGATCGGCGCAGCGCATGTGCTCTGCGGCCGCTCTCGCCCCCCGCCAGAAGCGGCCGGCGCTCAGCAGCAGCCCTTCATACTGCCAGACGTAACCTTCCCTTCACCTTCTTGCTCGTCTTGCTCTTCTTCTCCTTCTTCCATCGGCCGCAACTGGCTCTCACGGCGTCGCGGAGCCCACAACAGGCACATGATTGATCGTGTCGAACGGGTGGTCTTCGAGTTGTGTCAGCGACACGTAAACCAGCGGGTTCGCAAGCTTCCTTTTGTCTCCCATCAGTGAGTCTTTCAGGAAAAGGAAAGAGCGCTTTGCGATCTTCTGCTTGGAAGGCGCCGGGAGCTTGATCATGGGACTCACGAGCTGCCGCTTGATCTCCAGTTTCTCATCGCCTTCGAAGTGGAGAAGCGGATGCTCCTCACCGAGCTTTGGTCCTCTCGTGGTCTTGTTGTGCCTGTCAATCTCTGCTTGGCTGCGAAGGTATTCGATGTCCGAATACATGATACCAAACATCTCGCGGTATCCCATTTCCCACTCGTAGTTGTCGAAGATCGACCAGGCATAGTAGCCACGGACGTCGACTCCATCTTCTGTCATGGCCTTGTGGACCTCAGTCAAGTAGCCATGGTAGAACATCACTCTCGCAGGATCGTAATGGCCCTGTGAACCTCGATTTGCACCGTCACTGCAGCCGTTCTCGGTGATGTAGATAGGCAGATTGGGCTGGAATGTGTCTTTGATGTAGTTGAGCAGCTTTCGGAGGCCCCACGGGGCCATATTAAGCCAGCCCGACTCCGCGGTGGGAATACCCTTGTTCTCGAATGAGTAAGACAACGGGATCTTATTGTCGAACATCTTAGTTTTGCCTGCGTTGGACGTGTTGCCTTCGGCATCTACCAAGTTCGTGCCATAATGATTGAGACCGATGGCAGTGAGCGCAGCACGGCTGGCTTTCAGCAAGGCTTTCTCACTCTCGGTGAACGCTGGGAGGTAGGACAGCTTGAACGGCCCGGTACGCATCGATTCGGGATAGTCGTGAATGAACCCACCACTTCCGTCAGGAATGCCGTAGACGGGATGCATGAACCACCCGAGCCAAGCGTCGACCAAAGAGAGAGCTAAAGCCCTGTTGTGTGGGTTCGCCTCGTCAACCGGATGCTGATAGTCGCAATTGTTGACCATGCTGTAGTTGAGCTTCGGGTATTTGTCTTTCATTGCAATGCCGGCTTGCGCGTGCGCGATGATCATGTTGTGAGCTGCCACGTAAGGCCAAACATCCACGTCCAGGTATGGTGCTGTTGAGGGGGCCTTCCCCCAACCGCTCGACAGTTTTGATGCCACCCAAGCCTCATTGAAACTCGACCAGTCCTTCACATCTGTAAAGGTCTTGAAGCAAAAGTCGGCGTAGTTGGTGAATTCCTTCACGACAGCGGCATCTACCCCACGTGGAACTGGCAAACCGGCCGCTGATGCCGTGGCACTGTACCAGCCCTGGTAGTAACCTGGCGTCTCGTCGTGGAACTTCAGCTTGCTCAAATGCTCTATCGGGCCTGGGGCGTTTAGCAATCCTTGCGGCAAGTCCCAGTGGTACAAGGTAACCAGTGGGGTGATACCATTTTGGCGCATTGTCTTGAACACATCCTTGTAAAAGTTCACGCCCGACTCACTCACGCCGTCAGCCAGGAAACCTGTCGGGATTATTCGTGACCACGACAAGCTCATTCTGAAGTGCTTGATGCCACTCTTCGCCATGAACTCGATGTCCGACTTGTAGGTGTAGCGGAAAGAGGTGGCATCTTCGGTTGTAGCTCCCAGAGAATCACGGGCAGGGTCTGCTATGGCAGAATTTGCTGGGCACAGGCCTCCGGTCCCCAGCTGGGCCAGGGTCTCCTCGGTCCAGACCGAGCCAGGCATCCCGAGCGTGTCCAGGCCGCAGAAGGTGTCCCAAATCGACGCGCCGCGGCCATCCTCCCGGTACCCACCCTCGATCTGGCAGGCCGCGCTGGCAACCCCGAACGCGAAGTCCTTTGGAAATTGCGCGCCTTCTCCTCCCTGCTGACTCTGGCTAGCCTCCATTGGCCACGATCTGCTCCTTCTGGGCTAGACTGGAGACGCTCAAAGCGAGTTGAGAAACCTCTGAAGGAACTGTAGTCTGAACTCAAAACGCTTGAGCCAAAATGGCTACGGATCGGTCGGGCCACGTTTGTGTGTTGGCTCGGCACTTGGGCCGAAAACGAATGCATCAGATTAGTCACATATCCCCTCTGACTTGGGACGCTCGTGGTCTCATACAAACGGCTATACCATGCCCATGCTGCCTGTCGCGCGTCACCTAACGCACGGGGCAACATCAACCGACCTGAAACATACATGCTGCAACTCAACCAGCCTCCAGACAACAGCACGAATGCCCGTCCCCAGCGTGTGCCGCAGAAGGCCCTGAGATCTCGGGCAAAGATCCCCCGAGCACGAGACACGGCACGCAGACAAGCAGCTGCAGAAACATGAGCCTCAGGAGGTCCGCACCGATCTCGTCGATCGGCACCGCCCCCCCCCCGCCCGCGCACCCCGCACCCCCCCCCCCGCGGGTGGAGGCCGGCAGGGGTGTGGGAAGGGTGTCCAGCTCCGACCCGCGAGATCCGCTCGGAGCACCGAAGGCGTGCGTATCTCCCTGTAGTCGTCTCGGCTTCTCCGAGACCGCTCTCACACGGGCACGGAGTAGGGTTCGGCAGTTCGGAGAGGTGGTCCTGAGAGATGGGGCCCCGAGGTCAGTAGTGAAGGGGTCCCAAGGTGAACCTTCACAGCTTGAGGGCACTCGTCATTATGGCCCCATCCCTCAAGGCCCCGTCGTAGGATAGCGTCGCACCGCCTGCATCGGCAAAACATCGGCGACGCCGGTATTGTGCATGACATGGGGCTCCAGATTGCGCCGCATCGGCGATGCTGCGCGCGCCCCCGACCCCATCTACTCCGACCCCACATTGGCTGGGGACTTCCCTGGCACGAGACGGGAATCATGCCATGCTGCGACTGGCTCAGGAAGCGCTCCGGGAGTTCCAGACTTTCCAGCGAGCCGTCGGCCATCCGTACTCGGCCAGTCCCCCTGGCCGCTCGGGACAAGAAGAAAGTTTGGAATTCTTGGAACGTAGAGATGCAATGACTTCTCGCTCCTCTGAGCGTGGACGTTCCCCCGTCAGGCCAGCGTAACCCATCTTGGGTCTTAGTGGGGAGCCCACGCGTCCCCTCCCAGGGCGACGCAACCTCGGTGAGGCGCCGCGGGGCCGAGGTTGCCAGCCACGGCAGGCGCCAATACCTGGCCCCCCGAGCGTCGCTTGGCGGGCCACGAGGCACCCCCTCCAGGGTGCCGTCATCGTGTTTACCACAAGGGACGCTGAGTAGGGAGGGAAAGAGCTTCTACGGCCACGGCGAGCCTCGGTCACGGATAAGTTCCCCGACGCAAATCTCAGGAACGGGCCACTGAATCGGCGCCCCTCCTGATCCCAAACTAGTTTTGTGTTTCAGCGGACTGGCCGTATGTCTGTCGGGGGGCCCAGACGTCCGGATGCCTTGTGATCTTCCCCATACGACTGCCCCGACCCGTTCCCTCGGGCCAGCTGCTTCCTGCCGCGGCCGCTCCTGCTGACGGCCTCAGGGCCTGGCGTGGGCCACGAGAGGCCGAAAACGAGGACCCCGCCCCCGCACTGATCTCTCCAACACGTTGGATGCACGGTCGGGGCGTTGACCTGAGGAACCCTACATAAGGAACGAGGCCCCTGGTTCCCTTTAACTTAAACTTCAACTCCCCACGGAACACCCGAGGAAAACCAAAGGCGAACTGCAAAAAACAATCGAGGAACGCCGAGCCCCTCCCCAACGAAAAGGGTTCCCTCCTCAGCGCCCCGACTGTACTGGGTGCTCTTCGTGCCGACGGGGCCAGACGATAGCGAGCCCGCACCGCTCCCGGGCGAGGCGGGCTCTCGAGCGCCCGTCGGCGAGAGGACTGGGCGACCGGGGGGTCGGCGCGCCCCTCCCCCCGAGCAGTTCCCCCCCCCCCCTTGACGCTGCCCCCGGGCTCCACACTGCCCACACAGCTGAGGGGGCAGCAGAGCAAACATATTCCCCAGATGTTCCTACAATCGGAACTAGGCCAGAAGAACATCCCTCAAGAACACGAGACCCTCCGTCGGCCAAAACGCACAGAACATCCACGGGTACCCTCCTCAGGGTGCACAAGAACATCCAACCAACACGAAGAACATGAGGGTACCCTCCTCGAACCGACCTCGATCTTATACCTCCGTCCGACTAATTTCTGGGCTTCTGTGTTCCCCCCCACTCCCCACATTTTCCCAGATTTTCCGGGGGGTCGACGCTTGATTGTGTCGGTGTGTTTCTTCCCCTCCTGAACAACGCTGGCTGTCCCATGGGATGCCCTTGGCCCCCCCCCCCTGGCCGTCCTGGGGTGCGTTCTGACCTGCATTTCGGGGCGAATCCAGTGGTGGCGACGAGGGCCACCCACGGAGCCCCAGACAGGGAAAAACGAGGGCAGGGCAGCGGTATCTGGGCCTCTCCCTCCTCTGAGCGCCCCGCGGGCACCGCGCATCTTTGCCGGCGGCGGCTCCGACGGGGGCCCCGTCGCCGCCATCGGGCAGCACCTCCTCCTCGCGGCGGGCCCCGGCCGGCCGAGGGGCGGCCCCGAGCCGCCCTGCAGCCGCAGGCCTGCAGCGGCTGCGGCCGCCTAGGACAGTCACGTCGAGCTACCAGAAAGCTCGAAGCTGCTTCACGCGTCGCGCTCAGAGGCAGGCTTGCTTGCCTGGCATGCTGGCCCAGGGAGCAGACTCGCCCAGGAAGCTGCTGTCAGAGTGTGCTTTCACGTAGATCCTGGCAAGCTTGCTTGCCTGGCACTCCTTCCCCCCAGTGCCCACCGCCGCTGTTTCAAACAGCGCTTGGCCGAAAAGGCGTACAGGTGAGTCCCGACTTGCGAAGTCTAGACTTCTTGTCGAGCCACGCCACACCATGCAAGTAAACTAGCGAAAACACTTGCCTCGCAACCCAGGCAAGAGGCCCGGCGGCAGAGAGAGGCGGCCGAAGAGGGAGGGCGGGGACGGGGTGGGGGACACGAATTCCGAGTTCGACGATGACGACGACGACGACGACGACGACGACGACGACGACGACGACGACGCCGACGACGACGACGACGACGACGACGACATCATCATCTCCATCGTCATCGTCATCGTCAACCTCGCCATCGTCTTCGTCATCATCATCGTCATCGTCTGGCGTCCCAGGGCGCTGGACCGAGAGCGCATGAAATGCCGCGCGCCAGTCCGCCTCGCGCCCACCAGCCCACCAAGAAGCTTGAAGCACACATGGCTGGGTTCACGTGAGGAGCGTCCGGAGGCCACGCGCGGGATACACGTGCGGAAGCCAGGCGTACTTTGCCGTCGAAGGGCCGAGTGCTGGGTCCACAGATGTCTGGCCACATGTGCATCTAGCTGTCGCCAAGGCCAGCCGCGTCATGTGCAGCCAGGGAGCCAAAGCGGTGTTGACCCTCCACACCGCCACCTTCGGAAAAATGAGAGGAGCTTGAAACTTCGATCAATACTTCTAGGCCAGATCGACAGGATCACTCCCTGTTCTGGCATAGGCTTCAAGCCTGTAGACGGATCGACCAACACTGCCAGCTCCTGGCATCACGGCGACGAGAAGAGTGAGAGAGAGAAAGAGGAAAGAAACGAGAAGCCAGCAAACGACGACGGAGGTGCAGGCGGGAGGCCAGGGCCTGGCAGTCTCCACTGCGAGCCCTGGGGGCTGGAGCCCCTGCACTCCTCCCAAGGAAGCCTGGATCTCCTGACGGCGAGCCCGTCTTTGCCACAGAGCACTGCTGGACGCACCAGGCCTCCCTGCCTTGCGCGCTGCGGCTCCCTGCCTGGGATTCCTGTGGTAGGTCTCGAACGGATCGGCGGTGTGGTTTCGATTCGTTTTGACACTCTGACGAAGCCGCGGGGAGAAAAGCCTGGAGACGCTCCTCCGAAGAGGCCTAGGCTTTGTTGTGCTGGCCAGACGTCGCGGACCCAGGGATCGATGGCGGCCCGCCTCGACCGAGGGGCTCCTTCGCTGATCCTCTGAGCAAGCAGTTGGCAGCTCCAGAGATTGCTTGCGACTGCTGGGCTCAAGCCATGTCGGCTGACACCCTGAACTCAAAGCCGACAATCCCTTGGGCAGGAGGGACGAGTGTCCTGAGGACGACGGGTCCTGGACCCGCAGCTTCCCTTGGGACCAACATCCTGCACCGTCTCTGCCGCAACACTGGGGACCAGGAAGGGCCCTGGAAGGCCCGAAACGGCGCGAAACCTCTGGACCCCTTTCCCTCATGATCCCTTCCCGAGTCAGACAGGGGCCGGCGCTCCATCCTGCAGTCGTCTTTGTTGCCGGGGCCCAGCGAGGGCCCCGAGATGCCGAAAACGATTACCCCCCCCCAGCCTGGATCCTTGCAAGACGTTGGATGGCTCAGGGAGGGAAACGTCGATCTGGAATCGGCGGTACATCGGCGATAGGACAACGACAGCAAACCTGCACGTTCCTTGGCGTGGGCGGGCTATCAGGCACCATCGACGATGAACGGGCGACTGCGGGTCGGTGCGTCCCCAGGTGCGTCCCCCCCGAGCCCATCCCACCCCCAGCGTAACGTTGCCCTGGGGCTCCGTCCTCCGCCGTGGGCCATCGGCAGCCGCCCGCGCGCAAGTTCTGCGGCGCGGGGATGCCGCCCGCCCGTGGGCCCGCTCGGGCCATGCGCGGCGGGGGCGGTGCCCTTCGCCAGGTGCTCAGCCTCCTGGCCTGACGACACCGTCGGCGACGGCGGCGGCGACAACGACCGACCTTGCTAGGCAACCACACTTGAACCCTGCCCCTGCAAGTCAGATTTCTGAAACGCCGGCTGGGGCTCAGAATCCGGAGGGTGTCTACAACCCCAGCGGCGTGTCGGATAATCAAGGGCCAATTGGGCCCGCAGGGGAAAT